AAGCTGAGATTACTGGCAGTCCACCGCATAGATCTCGACAGAGCTCCCACGTTACAGGAAGACTTCAACGGATTAGACTTAAGTCAATTGATCAGTCAACTTTATGCATTATGTATGTTTCCAGGGTGTACGTCGTGCGAATCAAGTGTGAGAAACACGCGGACACGCAGAACAAGCTGCTGAGCATTGTCAACGGCCTCTTCCCCAAGGGCTCTAAGTCAGTGCTGCCCAAGAATGTCTCCAGTACAGTATTTGTCAAAATTATCCACTTTATTGCACAGGTATGCCCTACTTCTTCAGCCGTTTGTTTCTATTTCTGCTACATGACTGTCGAAATCATTCATTCTGTTGCACAAGTAGTTTCGTTGTTATCCAAGTTCCAATCGATTATCCTCTTCTTTATGCGGACATTCTTCGTTTTCGAGTCTGCCTTGCCGATACAGGATGCGACTCGATTTCATTTAAGTGGGCGTAAATTTGGCTCCTGTTTATTGTTTAGGTGTGATCGTGTCCGTCAATGTCTGACGGTTGTTATTGTGTGCTATTTTAAGCTTATTTTGTTATCAGCACTTGTAGCGATAATCGTTTATTTCATTATCGCGGAGAATTGTCAAGAGTCGACGTTTATACGCTTGTGGCAATGTTATTTTGACATAAATTCAAACATAGGCAAGTCATTTACTCTTTAGATATGGCTTTTTTTCTACCGGATGTGAACCAGTTTCTGTTTTCTTTTTTCCAGCCCCCTGCTTCTGTTCGCTAGGGGGAATTTCACCAATCTTACAGTTATCACATATTTTCTGTAATGTATGGAAGAACACTGTTCCTTCCTCTTTGAGCAAGTTACGCATAATTCGCACGCCATCTTCACTCCAGGACTGTGACTTAAAATATTATTCACATGGCACAAATAAGCTTAATAACCCCTCTTTTTTCACCTCAACCATTTCTAGTGCAGTTGCATGTTTATGAGACTTTTTTGGAGCATGGATAGATCCTATGCGTACAATGCGTCTTTTCGACAACCTCTCAAACCACGATGCTCTTATCATTAACTGGTTCTTGAGTTCTCCCTCCGTTTCTAGTTTTTAATCATAGTTGATAGGAATTTCGGAGCGCTCTGCTTCTGTCGCAACATGGTAAACTTTTTGGGGGTGCTTAATCTTCTCTTAAGAGATTATATGAGGAATAAATTTATCCCCGTACTGAGCACACATGCTGGCGGGAATGAGTTTGCTGGCGTCATTTATTTTATTCATGAACCTTAGACAAGTGATGCTGTACCTTCCCTAGCTTAGTGACTTAGTTGGGTTACCAGATATACCCTGCTTGGCATTAACTCAAACACGGTTAATCGTTTCCGATTCTTTCTCCTTAAATGCCTCCACCGAAAAGGCGAAGCTGTGAAACCTTAGTCTTATTATGTATTTTCGAAATTGCTTATTGTACCGACTATTCTTCAAGTCATTTTAGTGAATTTCACAGTTTCGTAATCTCTGTTTTAGCATGGCTTTTTATCCTTTTAATTCCCGCTTCTTAGGTACCGTGGTTAAGTGAACCACAGAGAATAAATTTGTTATCTTCCTCCCCCTCACACTTTTAGGAGAAACTCGACTTCGCCATGACTGAGATCATCTTTGATCTGTTGGGCGTGAATCGCTTGCAGAAGCTGGTCCTTACACCCGAGGTGAGTGGCTCTCTTTCCGTACTTGTTTACTTATCCAAAACCTACCTTCCAACTCTTCTCTCCCCTTTCAGCGCATGAATATCGGTCTTCGTGCCTTCCTTCTTATCGCACACGGACTTCAACAGAAAGATGGGGAGCCACCGATGCCACAGAATCAGCCTCTTGCTGGTTGTGGCGGTGGTGGTGCCTACTCATCGGTGCATCCCCGGGGTTCTGGCAATGTACGTCGCTCCTTCCATGGAACCACATTGGACGACGCGCTGTGCGAACGGCTGGGCATTCGACCCTACCTTGTGCCAGTGCGTAAAGCCTTTGAAGCTATTCTGCGGCTGCTGGAGCCGCAAGTTTGTCGTAGTATGATGCCACCGAAACAAGGAGCGCCGATCAAGGACGATGATGCAGCCCCGTAATCTTATCACTTTCCTTATCCGTATTTTGGAAGTCTGTTGATGGTATCTTTTTTGAATGATATCTCTTGGGTCTGTAGAAGGAGAAATGGATTGTTTGGACAACTCTGGAGCAGCATTTTAGGAATCAGTCAACTTTTTGTTGTAATTTTCTTGGTCCCTCCCTGTTTTCATATTTCTCACACCTGGTTCAAAAAAAATAGTGAGCTAGAGTCTACAAAACTATTTGAAGTTTCACTTCAGCCTGTTTTAGGGATTTTGGTAGTTTTGTTTACTTAATATTTGCAATCTAGTTACCCTTGAAATTGTCTTAAGGCGCAGAAGTTTGACGGCAGAAGAAGAGATGATACAAAGGGAACTTTTCTGTGTAACTGATTCTCATTCATGTGATGTTTAAGGCGTCATCATCAACTCTTCCAGTTATAAATCCGTAACGCTGAAACAGAAACCGTGACCATTATTGTATTCTCACTCCGTAGAGACATTGGATTCCAAAAATTGCTATTTGTCCGCTGAGCTTTAATTGAATTCGCTTTTAAACCATCTGTTTGTAAACTGCATCACAAACGCTTATTTCGGGTGTTCTACAACAAATAGATTTTCTCTGCTAACTGATTTTCACTTTTCGATTACAATTCTGTTAGATATCTAAGAGATGCGAAAGACCAACAGCTACATCATTTTATCCCTCTCTCTTCCTCTGTAGCAATGATCGTAAGCCGAAGATAGATCTGCTGAAAACCTGTGTGAACTGCATTCCTCGTCTGCTGCCCTACGAGATGTCGCGTACCGAATTAATCGAACTGTTAGCCAGGGTCTCGCTCAATGTGGATGAGGAGATTCGTATGATGGCGCAGCAGACCATGGTCAATCTCATCATCGAGTCTCCCGCCTACCGACAACGCACTATTCAGGGTCAGTCCTGCTCCTCATCTTCCTTTTGCCTCCTCCTCCCTAAGCTTCGCAATTACTGAGCTTTCCTGAGCGCTTTCGTGGCTTAGGTTTTCAGCACTTCCTCTCCACCACAGTAAGATGGTTCTGCAATGTCTTAGTCACTTTCAGGGACTTCGTCGCTATTGGGATCTGAAAGGGGCTTTGTTATCGATTTACGGAAGAAATGGACCATCAACATAGGCGGAACAAACACAAATCGGATGGCACTAGCATAGGCGCCGAAGTGAGGCCGATTATAAAGGCGCGCCTAATAGACGATCATTATTGTGATGCATGCTACTCTTCTTGTTTTGAACGGCGTTCTCAGTGCTTCTTGTCATCAATCTTCTGTTTTGGTCATCACCGGTGTTTGAGTGGATTGAATTTGACTGCGAGACGGAAGCAAAAATGACATGATAAATTCTCCTCACAGCGGAAAGACTATAGCGCTCGGGATAATCGCGAAAACTTTGTCAAATATTCGAATTTGAAAGTAGACGGAAAAAGCAGCAATGTGGGTGATATAAGCAAAGTCCCATGCCATCGATATGGGACCTAAGTTGCGGAGTAAGTTTGCTTTATCGTAGCCCTCGCCTTTTGTCTCTGAGGCATTTGAATCCGTAGATCGTTTCATAATTGATGTACAGAAGGGTTGGGAGACTATTGCTGCAGCCCTATGTTATCAGTGTTGCGGTTGAATCAAAGGTGGTTGGAAAGTTCCTCCATATGGTCATCGTAGTTAGCTGGGTTTCATACCCTTGGTCACTTCTGATTTGGCCATTATAGCGCAGTCAACGTTTCGGAAGCTACCCACGATTCAGAAAATAAAATCATTAAATTCGCTATGGAATGGGAAGCTATTTATTCCCGATGTCAGTGATGCATTTCTCCGATTTTATTTGTATCAGAAGTTTTATCGTCTTTGTAGACTGAGCCCAGGGAGGGAGATTCACTGGCTTATCACTACTTAAGGCCAGCGTATGCTCTGTAATGCGTATGTTTCATTATCCCAATTACCAGTCTTGGGAATATTTGCCTAAAATATATAGGTATTTAACGAAAGACTTATTTTAAAGTAGCTCCATGGAGCTAATATTTTGGATCTATTCCCTACCACGTTATTTTCTCTTTAGTGCTCACGATGGTGTATTGGAGTTCCATTTAGCTAAGGAAGGCGTGGTTGAGACGTTTCACAGGATTTACATATCTTCATATAATTAACCTTTTTTCAAGTCATTTAAGTACGGTGTCACTTCACTTTTAGCTACTTTTTTTTGAAGACTCGAGTGATTACCAGAAATGGATTTTGCTTCGCTGAACCATTTTTTGTGGGTTTTTAGTTATCCACAGCATGGGCCTTCTATGATGTTTATTTTTGGTATTCTCGTATCGATTCTGGAGTTTTCGTTGGACTAGGCTCGCTTGCCTGCGCCACCGATGTGGCTTCCCCTGTCTTCTGAATGCTTAATAAGTCATACCAGCATGAAAGAAGTGAAAGCTAAAACCTGAGCTTTTGACCATGCTGCTTAAAAGGAGTATAAATGGCGATGACTGAAGATCCCACTTAAGTGAACAGTTAAACAAACAACAGATTGCTGCAAAACAGTAACTTTTATTTTATTAAACCTCGTCTTGCTACACTGGTGGCTGGTACTTGGGACCCTAGATTGGTGTACCCTCCAAAAATCGACGTAGATGTAGTTACCTTCTAGACTCAATCACTTCTGGCGGGTGCCTTTTTTTCAGCTGTCTTAACGTACCATTTAACCATTAAGATCGAAACTGCTGATTTTGGTAATTTTTTTATCAGCGCCACTTTCGATAATATTGTGACAGTCATCTCTGGAGTCGTTGTAAAACAACTACTCCATTATGGCTTTGTGTGTCAGTAGAATAGATGGTCTAAACAAGGCTTTGTGCCACCTACTTGGGGGCTATACTGTAAGACACTGAAAGCCTTACTTAATCGTTTTTAAAGTAGAGGTACTTCATTTCAACCGATCACATTATTGCTCTCTTCTTGCTTTGCAGCCTTCATCCAATTCATTCAGAAGTACGTCCCGGACACTGCGCCGCATCAATTGGACAGTTGTCTCAAGACCCTCCATACACTACTGGTCAACTGGAAGATCGCCCTTCAAAGAGTCTGTTTTCCTGATTCCTTTTCTACACCGATTCAACTATGCATATTATTTGATTGAATAAGAAGTTTACTAGGCGAAATTGGTGCGGTTCATGCATGGTAATCAAGAGGCTCATTACAGGGCCTGTAATAACTTCAGGACTTCAGAAAGCTTCTGGAAATAACCCGTTTTATCTGTAACCTAATGATTTTTCCAACGAGGTAAGGGTATGCTTCCAATTCCGCTTTTACATAACAATCTGTTGCCAGTAGGAATAAACAACCTTAATCGCATTCGTTTGTATTGCGGTTTTATTTTTTTTAACAATCCATTCTATTTCGGATATTATCATACGATTGTTTAATGCAAACAAATTATTTTAGTATTCACGACAAACATTGCTAAAAATTGTTTTGGGTACGTTGGTCTCAAATTGAAGTGTCCGTAACGGACCGTAGTTTTCCATTCTAATAAGAAATAGGGGGTTTCTGAATGTGATTTTTTCACCCTTTAGTGGTTCACCGCCATTAACAAGTTCTTTAAGCCATTTCTGGGTTATGCCTTCCACTATCACATGCAGCAGCCTCTTTGAATGCTGTGCAAGAAGCTACACGAGATGGATCTCCAGTCACAGCTTTGGAACAGAGTTTATCTGAGTCGGTAAAGCCAACATCTCCTGTCCCATCCATCAGATTCAGCTGACGTTATTTAATGTGAAGGTTCAAAATATCAGGAAAATAGTAGAGAGGACAATGGTCATTACTATGCAGATGGACTAACCTCTCTCCATGCTTTATGATGCATTTTTGCAGCTTATGCACACAAACCATAGCGTGCATTTTACAAGTTGAAAAGTTATTGCAAACATTTGTACCAGGAGCCGCATAAAATTTTGGGTCACCTGATACCTTTTCGCTATTCTTCATTTCCTCGCTAGAATTGTTTCATGTTCCACTACTGTGTAATGATAGATTAGGAGCAATTCATTACCCTTACAGCTTCGTGTCTGCTTTTCGTGGATTCATTTTTATCGCGTGCCTTCATTTTCTGATTATGGAGTGTAAACTAGGCTAGATTTATTTCATATATTGTTCAGGTCCCTCTTTAGAGTTATTTCTAGCTCTCGTGCATGTATCTACTGTTCTGTGAAATGGATCTGAGGTCTTGATCTTTACATTGAGATCGGGCTTAAATCCAGACATTTATGCTTCATGTTTATTAGTAGTAACTACTGACGAGCGTTATAACCTTTTCCATCCAAGGGCACTTATACAATCTAATTTTGTGGAGCTCCGTTTACCTAAGGTTCATTTTCGCAACTTTTTCTACTCCTTTTTCTTAACCTTTTAGCTATGTGCTATTTAACCTATTTAGATCTCGTGTTTTTTAGTAATACCTATATCGATGCTTTGCTTTCTTTATTTTGGCCCTTTACATATGGCTGCCTTCTGGAGGTATCGTCTACTAAATTCATTGAAATTTCTTGTTCGCTGGCTTGTAATTAGCTTCAATTTCCACTTTTTCTACGTTTTATGTCTTCAAAATTTTTGAATATTCTTTTTTTTTTGGTGAATGTTTTCACAGTGTTTCCACATTTTCGTTTTGATTGAATTTTTTTCTTGAACCACTTATGCCCTATGGCGTAATGGTTATTCGTGTCGCCCACCGTTCAAGGTCTGACTTCTCACACGTGTTGGTCAAACTCATCTATTTTAAGTAATGCACTTTATGCTTCTGTTTACGCCAGCAAATTCGGGTTTCCCATTTCTCACTACCAACGTTCATACTTTTTCCTCCCCCATGCTTGAAGAATCTATTGATAAGATTGTGACAAAGGTGAAAAGAATAAAGTCTCCCATTTTTCTCCAAATATTGTCCTCGGTGTTCTTAGTGGTAATTCACCCACATCGGTCATATTGTGGTTTTGCATCACAATTTAATTCATTTACCATTTACTCTGCTAGTGAACTGTACTAAAGCACTTAATTCATCTAGTATCACTTTGACGGCGTTCTATGACACGCCTGTCCCTTATGCTAATTGCTTTTTTATTTGCAAATTGGTCTAAGTAAGGAAAAGCCTTGTGAAATATACGGTTTAAAATAGTTAGGCCGTGTCTTGTTCTTTTTTTGGCTCTTCTATGAGTCATCCATTCATTCACAGGAGATGCCTTTCTGCTCCAATCAGATGTCAGTGAAGGCCGTAATGTTATTTACATTTATAAGATGAATCTGAAGGGAAGCAAAGCTTTATGCCTCCCTAGAGGGGACAGGGTTTGACACCTAAGGCTGGCTACGCACTAACAATCGTCATTAATTTCATCACTCAGGATGCAGCAGTGACCACCAGCTTGTCGGAGAAGTCGGCCCTCGTAGAGGCAGAGGGATTCGCTTTGGTGATGCTCTGCCAATGTCGTCCCCTTGCTCGCCGGCTCGCCGTCCATATTCTACGCGAATCGCGAGCCGTTTTACGGCTCATTAATCAGGTCGCAGCGGCAGCAGCACAGCAACACCAAGAACAAGGCCACGAGGACTCGATTCAGAATATCTCCTCTTCCGCTAGTGTTGCCGCTGCATCTAATACCTCGGTAATTGACATTCTGGACAGCCTGGCGCCGACGATTCTGGAACGGATTTTGCCGCTCTTGCCACCCAATGAAAGAGTGAGTCGAGTAGCAAGTATATTACATGAGATTTTCGTTCTGCATTAAGGTTCACCGTTGGTGCATATTTCGAACCTTTTTCACCTATTCCAGAGATTCTGATCGAAAGTGACTGCAAATAGCTTAACTGGAGCATTGTTTTTGAGTCCATTCATTAATTGCCTAAGAAACCTGTGTCTCGGAAAATTATCCGGTAGTTCTATGGTAGTTCAACATCAAATCTTTCCCTATTTGTGAGCTAAATCTGGCGGATTAGATCTGCCTATTTGCTGCTTAGATTATTCGCTTCATGGGTAAGCATTCAATGTAAACCTGAAAATGGGTCATGGAGGTGCAGTAATTTGTCTTTGAGACTTTCTTCATGAATAAGTTCCTTTGAGGTTTAGTTTGCTCAACCATCGCTTGTTTTTTGAAAGAGTATTTAGTGCCAGTGCAAAAAACTACTGATACCATTACTTATTCGATGTCTGTGTATGCCTTTAACCTCCCGCTGTGATGAATGTAATTGCCTTCAAAGTCTTCCACTAGCTAACCAACACTTAGCTTTCCTTTGACTAAATTATTCACTTCAAGCCCTAATTTTATTCGTGAGGCACCCTGGTTTCAACCACTCTTGTGTAAGTTCCACCTCTTCTGTTGCTTAGCGAAAAATGGAGTTAAAGTGCGGATTTATTGCCAATCTGCTAGGGGTTTCAGAAAAGCGGTTTAGGGGTGTTTGAAACCTCTCAGGTAGATAGGAGTAATGCTTTTCTAACTTTATGGTAAGAAGTATTCCTGCAATTAAATTCCATGATTTGCAAGAGTTTAGTCCATTCGTCGACTGCAGTAGGAAATCCCTTCCTTGAATGCGGTGATGTAAAGGAATAAGCAAGTGAATGTTCGGATTAACCATTGAACAAGTAAATTGAACGTATTACTTATTAGTAATAAAGAAGTAAATGCATGATGGGGAGTGAGTAAAGTGACCTACTCGTGGATGGACACGTGAATTAACGAACGAATTGCTGGATGATCGAATTTTACCGCTTTAAAATTTGCCTATATTTTAAGTTGTTTTAATCAAACCCCAGATCTTTTCCTTCCCCTACAGCATTCACTCTAAATTCTAAAGGAGTTTCATGGAGATGGTTTTGGTCCTGTTAATATGAATTCCAAACTGCGAATGGTTTATAAAATGCAGGCACCAGTAAATCGCTCTATCATAGTGGAATTGTGCTTAACTTTCGAAATACCTATCTAGAAGACTGTAGTATTCCAAAGAGATATTGCATCCTCCAGCACGACCTGACAATTCTGTCGACGGTGGACTTCAAGTCACTGGCAGAGCGCGCCACTCCAGTCTGGCTATGCGGTCCACGACAGCCCTCCACTTGGAATCATAAACCGGTTCTCTGCACAACAAGCGTTACTACTTCAACCACACCCTCTTACGTCCAGCGGTTCAGCAGCGGTGGCCTGGGAAGTGCCAAAACTTCAACCGGTACGTCTGCAGTCTTCGTTCAATTCAGCTTTGCTGTCTCTTCTTAATTGTGGTATTTGATAGTTTTTTATTATAAATGTAGAGAGGGGCTGTAGGAACCGGTACCAGACTCCTGTACCACTAGCGTAGAGATTGAATCGCCGAAGATTGAAAAGTCTTGCTTTATACCATACCTAAGGAGGAAATTCGTGCCTCCAGCTAGCCCCGAAGCCGTACATTAGAAAGATTTATTACTAGTGTGCAGAAGAGTTAAATATGGAAATGGAATTGAGGTCACACCGGCGGGATGATAGTAAAATCTGCAGGGACCGAAGAGCCTGCGCAGTTAGGTATACATTCTAGCAAATGTAAGTTTACTACGCAACTGCATTCCTTTGTGGGTTGATCACTTTACTTCTGGTGAATTTTAATAAGATCGGATCAAATATGCTTCAGCTTTTCGTTAGGTGGTCCGTATTGAATCCAGATTCCTTGACTATCCTCTCATGCCACTTTTTATACACGCTAAAATTGATCACCGAAATCTGCTAATAATCTGCCTCTCATCCTAATCACAGTTAAAACTGTGCGATCAAAAGTTTCTTTAGGCTTTAAAGAGATAACAAAAAAATAAAGCAATGAATTTAAAATTGACTGAATTAGAATATTATGTACTTCCCTAGCCTCTGATTTGCTCTTTAAGGTGTTGAAGGATGTGTCGATTCGAGATTAACCTTGTCATTAACGTAGATGACTGGAAAGCCAGTATTATAGCTCCATACCATTGACATAGATACCGAATCTCATGGATTGAACGGTCTCTCAAGTTCCTCCACTTGTTCCTCATGCGATATATCGATACCTTCAGACCAATCTCCGGGGACCAAGGCGTCTCGCTCCGCCACCGCTGCCACCACATCCGCCGGAAAGTCCAGTTTGGAGACCTCACCCAGCCGAGATGGGCGCAGATCCCAGATGGTTCCACCGCCACCACTGACTGTGACGGGATCAGCTGCTCTGCGCCCTTCCGCCTTCTGCCAGTGTCTCCTCTCCCCTTACCTCCTACAGCCGCAAATGGAGTATATTCAGTTAACCGACGTTTGGGCTACCGCCCTCTCTGTTTCCCTCTCCACCTCTAGTGCGCTCAGCCTTCACCCTGCTATGCTCTACACGTGGAATACTGTCTTCCAGCGGCTAGCACAGGTTTTCTCTCTCATTGATCCCAAGTGAGTATCTGATTTTGTCTGGTTGGTTTTGCTCCGTGAGTGGTCTGAAGGACAGCACCACTTGTGAAACGCGCATTTTCATGGTCCCTTTTGATACTGTTGATTTATTTCCACTAATTTTGCACCTTCTCGACTTATTTATTTTGGTGAAATTTTGTCGAACAAGAATCCAATGTATAGAATTTTCAAACTATCACAGAGACGGAACCTCGTGTTTATTAGTCACTTTTGGTACTTAAGTACATTGTACATTGTTTCCTTAAGCTCTTTTGAATTCAGAATTAATTTAACGTTGCGACTAGCGGCCGAAATATACCGATAGAACTTTCTCAAGTGGATTTGGTCATCAGATTTGTCTGAGTTACCCGCGAAAGACAGTCCTTCTGAACGTCTAGGAACAAAGCCACTTTCAGATTTTTATCCCTTACAATGAGTGGCAAGTGGCTCTGGCGCCATTGATTTGAATTTCAAAGCCCTACTTTGGAGGTTGAATAATTCTGCCGCCCTTGGTGCTTCCTGCGCTCATTTTTCTATTGTGGCCACTGAAGGTTTTCGAAGCAACTTCATGTCAATTGTGCGATTAAGAGGATACATGTTAAATAAGTATTCATACCCAGGCAAGTTTCAGAATACCCGCCTGCAAACCTTGATGGAATTTACTCCTAAGGTGTTGCTTGAAGCTGGGTTATGTTCTACGGCAAAAGCATTCTCTGTACCAAATATTTTCCATAAAGACACTTTTTTAAAAGCAAAACCAGTTTAAAATAGTGCCTTTGAGCTGCGCTCTTTTGCTTGTTTACTTTGTTGCCTAGTGATGCGTTTTTTCTTACTTTTAGCCTTCTGTAGTATGCGGATATAGTACATGATCGCTCTTATCGCATCAATATTGGCGCTACTTCTCTATGGACGATTTTGACACGTTGACACCCGGTTTAGCTCCTTTAATGGCCGCTACACCGAATTCTAATTTTGTGCATATACTAAGAGTCACCAGAATCTCATTTACATTTCCCTTGTGAGCCCCATCTATTCGGTCATTTGAGCAGATGCAGTAAAGAAAGGTTAATCAAATCGTCATGAATAAAATTCAGTTCACAATTGAAGTGAGGGGTACATTGCCACTTTGAATTTCGATTCACACAACAATTGCAGCATTTGAGCAAGTCCTTATAATCAACACACTGGGCCTCGAAATAAAATGGCTTTCATAAATATCTTCCCATTAAACTTCAACTACCTGAGTTTCATCATGCGAGCTTCATCATCGGCTCGATAGATCTTATTTCTGATCTGATATCTTCTGATGACTTTCATTCCCGGAACAAAGCACATTCGGAGTAATAAGGTCGGGTGAACACACAGGACCCCTGTAGGATGGCATTTCAGCAATATTTAACGAAACTGCCTAGTTCCCCATTTACAGTTGACGATAATGAAAAATTTTATTAGCAAATTGAGCTTTGTTTTACCGAGCTAAGTTAGTAATAATGTTTTTAACGGAATGCGATTTGGCAGGCGAAAAAAAATTTGGTGCAGTTTTTGGTATGAGTCAATGCAACGACTTTTAACTTGTAGACGCCAGTTAACTACTTGGGGTTCTATATCTCTCTGGTTTGTTCTCTACTGTTTTCTGTTATTGTAAATCCTCATGTCATTAAATGCCACTTGAATATTGCTATACCTTGTCAACATTTGTTACAACTGCGGCTTTTGTATTCGTCTACAAGAGCCGCCTAGATCATAAAGAGCTTTGAACCAAATAAACGATAGACAAAATTTCAGTGTAGATGCCTTCATTACGGACACAATAAATAAGCCGAGTAGGTACAGTCAATGCGCACGCATCTGGAGGCTAGAGTGGAAACTGTTCGAGTGTTAGTCTGTGTGCC